GGGTTCATCGTAGGGAATCAGGCTTGAGGGATTTAGGGTTTAGGGTTTGTAGGGTTTAGGGTTCATCGTAGGGAATCAGGCTTTAGGGATTTAGGTGTAGGGTTTGTAGGGTTTATAATTAGGGTTCATCGTAGGGAATCAGGCTTGAGGGATTTAGGGTTTAGGGTTTGTAGGGTTTGGGGTTCATCGTAGGGAATCAGGCTTTAGGGATTTAGGGTGTAGGGTTTGTAGGGTTTATAATTAGGGTTCATCGTAGGGAATCAGGCTTGAGGGATTTAGGGTTTAGGGTTTGTAGGGTTTAGGGTTCATCGTAGGGAGTCAGGCTTTACGGATTTAGGGTTTGTAGGGTTTAGGGTTCATCGTAGGGAGTCAGGCTTTACGGATTTAGGGTTTGTAGGGTTTAGGGTTCATCGTAGGGAATCAGTTTCTATTAGTCATGGAGACTTCAAAACCATACGCTTGCATTCCACCCTTTGTTACCCCTTAAGGAGCTCCCATCTTCATCTCTGCCTTTCAGAGGAGGCTTTCTTGGCTCATGTCTCACTTCGCAGTCGCCCTGAACCCTAAACCCTGAAAACTCGACCCCACAACTCCAGAGCCCTAAAGCCCGAAAATCCTAAACCCTGAAAGCCTGAAGCCCTAGTAGAGCCCTAAATTCTCAACCCTAAAATCCAAATTCTTTGCAACTATGATGCAGGCTCAACCGTAAAACCCTAGAAGCCGAAGTTTCAATATCTAACAACTCTGAACCCTACACCCCGAAACAACGACTCCCCTCCAGAAGGCCCCAACAAACGGTCCAAGATCACCATCTCACCACCGTCAGCACACCACCGCAAGACTCCATACGGTTGATGATATAAATCCTGCATTACCCAGAATAAGGGATATACCATAATTCCCATGCTTTAGGGTCCTTAAAGTAATGCAGGATGTATATCATCAACCGTATTTCAAACCCCTGGGTGGATCCAAAAAGGTAAATCCCCTACGAGGGCTCCCATAAACGAGCCTTTAGTAGTGTTAGTATAGGGTCCTAAAGTAGGGGGTCTACATTGCAGAACCTCCCAGAGGCCTGGGACCATGTCCCTTTTGTATTCGTAAACGACCGTAACCCTAGAGCTTGGAGGATCAGAGGACTTAGTAAATAAGCTTATAAGTACCCCAAGTTGGGGCTCTAAGTAGTTATAAGTATAGTTACCTAGTTACTAAGTCCCATGATCCTTTAAGTGGGGCGCGTCACGGCCTCGCTTGAACTTCCGAACACATTACAGCCGTACTGTTCTTGTATATTTCTCACGAATGCCTTTCGACCCCCTCATCGTAACCCTATAGAACCCTGTTCAGACCATAAATCCTAAACCCTAAACCCTAACCCTAAACCCTAAAAGCCCTAAACTCCTAAACCCCAAACCCTTTAAAAGCTAAACCCCTAAAACCCCTAAACTACCTATGCTACGGCATTTGGGGTGCGTTGCGATTCTTCAAGTGGGTGGTTGTCAAACTCATGGTCCCGTTTTGGGTCCCTCTTATCATATTGCACCTAACTTTTAGGGTACCCCCAAAAAGGAACTCTAATTTTGACAACTACCCAAATGCGCCTCGCGAGGTCGCCATGTGACACTGCCATGAAAGGGTGCGGTCGGTGCCCGGTTTAGGGTTTAGAGTTTATGGGTTAGGGACGATTTAGGGTTGAGGGGTTTAGGGTTTAGGACTTAGGGGTTTAGGGGTTTAGGGGTTTAGGGTTTTGGGTGCGATCAGTGCTCGGTTCAGCTACGGTCTGCGGCTTCTCTAATGGGTAGTATAAGGGCTGTTGTGTGGGATTGGGGCTTGGCCTCTTTCGGACTCTACAAGGGCCGCTTGTTTTGCAGTTACGGTTGGGGCCTTAGGATTCTATCCCTAAACCCTAAACCGTATAGAGCTTTTAGTTGGCCTTTAGGGCTCTGAACTTTAGGATTTCAGGCTCTGGGGCTCGGGTTTAGAGGGTTTTAAGCTTTCAGGGCCTAGGTCGAGTCCGGGCACACCGTTCAGGGTTTAGGGCTTGGGCTGCCTGCCGGGCTCGTGGTTTAGAAATGCAGACTTAATAGATGCAGGATTAAGAGCTGAAGTGGTGAGGGTGCTTTAATTTTAGGTTCTAAACCCTAAAACCTTTTGGGGGTTGTCCATTGGGTCCTGTGTTTGAAGGCTCCGGGTTAAGCTGAAGGATTGCCACGGCGCAGGAATACTTACCTTTGGGTAATAGGGAATGGAGGAATGGGGTACAATTATAACTACTTTTACTACCATTCTTCCATTACCTACGAACCAAATGCGAGAGAAAAAAGGCTTGAACCAAAACAGAAGCCTGACAAGTTACACTCGGGGCGCGGGGATTACACTCGCGGTGTTGGCGGTGTTAGAGGAAAGACATATTATTTGGGAACTCCGATGCAATTGTTGTAGCGATTTCTTCTGGCCCATACATTGGACTGTAGAATTTTCAGTTTACCGTGTAGTGTTGAGGGCTTGGGGTTTACGTTGTAAATCGAAAAGCCTGAACTCTGTACCTTAAACACCGAAGCCTAACGCCAAACACTTAACCCGAAACTCTAACCGCCCTGACCCTACCCCCAAGAGTCCAAAGGAACCCATAATTAGGTAGTCCGTTTTAGGATAGTCGTTATGTAGGTCCGGATTTTGGAGAGTATATGGGGTTGTAAAACAACCCCGCTTTAAATCTATTCATCCATTTTGTCGTTATCGCTTTATGTTCCTCCTTATCGTTTTACAGTGTTTGGTGGCACTTCATAGTTGCAATAGTAGCCGTAGTACTGGTGGTAGTAGTAGTAGCAGTAGTAGCAGTAGTAGTAGTAGTAGTAGCTGGATTGTGCCCGCTTGTAGTGCAACTCTAGTACTGGAAATGTCACGTTTCGGCTCCTGGCTGGATTGTGCTCGCGTGTAGTACAACTTTAGTACTGGAAATGCCTTGTTTCGGCTCCTGGCTGGATTGTGCTCGCTTGTAGTACAACTTTAGTACTGGAAATGCCTCGTTTCGGCTCCTGGCTGGATTGTGCTCGCGTGTAGTACATCTTTAGTACTGGAAATGCCTTGTTTCGGCTCCTGGCTGGATTGTGCTCGCTTGTAGTACAACTTTAGTACTGGAAATGCCTTGTTTCGGCTCCTGGCTGGATTGTGCTCGCTTGTAGTACAACTTTAGTACTGGAAATGCCTTGTTTCGGCTCCTGGCTAGATTGTGCTCGCTTGTAGTACAACTTTAGTACTGGAAATGCCTTATTCCGGCCCCTGGCTGGATTGTGCTCGCTTGTTGTACAAAATGACGTTATCGATATTTTCTCCTCCTTATCGTTTTACAAGTCAAACGCATCGTCGCGAACACTGCGGGCAATAAATCGACCACGCGGGGTTGTTATACAACCCCATATGATTATTGGGTACTTGGACCCTTGGGGTACTTACTCAGTCCCACGACCCTCTAAGAGGGGCTGGAACGGGTTGTCGGGCTTCCGCCCAAGGATCTAAATTTCCCGGATCTTCCAAAACCCCTTCATTAAGCAATATCTGGACCCTAGAAACCCTAGTTTTTGTTAGGGTCACCTATTATGATTCCCATATCTCGGTCCTCAAAACAGGTCATTTGTGGTTTAGGTATCCCCTACGTTGTATTAGGATCTTTGGCATGAGTATGCTTTCAGGTTGAAAGTGTAGCCTTTAATTACGGGATATTGGAAGGTCTGGGGATTTCCTTGCTTCTAGCGCGGTTCGTTCAGCAGCGGCTTTAGTGGCCTTGCTAATGAAGGATTTGAGGGTATAAGGGTGGTGCTCTACATTAGGATCCCTTTTCGGTTCTTGTAATAGGAATTTTGGGGACACTGAGTTAGATAACTACCCGTATTGTAATATCAAAACTGGGTTCATAAGGGGACATTAACCTTATGATCACATGCTTCAACTCGCGCTCTCGCAGTGGGCAGGCACGGATTCGAGGACGCCTATCAAACCACATGTATGCCGAAACAACGTTCAGCTACATTACTACTATCCTACAAAAACCCTAGCGCCTATAGCTTGTTTGTGGTAGCTGGTAGTATAACACAAAAGTTCTAATTACTCACCTAGACCTCAGCATATACTGCTTCTACCTGTTAACCGTGTACATCTTTCAGGACATGACAATGACATTCGCCAAGCTGTACCCCCGGTCCCAGGAATCCAAACCGCTTGTCAATGCAACAACCGAGTCAGACCACAGCATGTTGTAACCCAGGATCAAAACCCCGGTACTTGGGCACTTCGAATGGGTTTGGGGTACAGTATTATTACAGTACTGCCATAGTATAGAACCCGAAGCAATAGTATTGGTATTCATTCAGGCCCTGCCATTACTGGGAGGGGTGGTAGAAACCTAAAGGGACTCACTCAGGAGCCTTCGCGTAAGGAATAAGCCCTGCAACGTGTAGTGTAGAAAACAGATGCCCCCCCAGGCCATAATGTAGAGGCCTTCATCACGCATATAATATGAAGAAGGTGCCTTCAAGTTCATGAATACAAATTAAGCTAGGCTACTACCCTAAATTGCAACAACATATCTCACAATGATCTCATGATTCTAAAACATCCCCCAAACTCCGAAAGCCCCGAGCATCAGAAAATTTAAAGTTCTCTAATTGACTGTCTAATAGCTAAGCCCCTTTGTAATATGGGTACCCCTGTTGCTGCTATTCGGTTCTCAACAAGAAAATCCACCCCAAAAAAAGGGCAAGAGCGTAGTACTCAGGAACCTAGTAGACCCTAAAGCCCTATAGATCCCTTTCAGAACCCTGTAAAGGATCCCTTATGGAACCCGTTAAAGGATCCCTTATTGAACTCTTTAACTTCATAAGCCCCCCCCAAAAGTGCACACTTTCAGTTCTATAGTGGGTAATGCTATCCCAAAAAGTGTAAAGTGTATCCACTCAGCTACTAGGTTAAGGAACTCTGTAGAAAGGGTACGCAGATTTTTCTCAGCGATTCTGTGGCGACGCGCTGCGGCTCTTGGGTGCGCGCAAAGAGCGTCGCAGGGGCGAGTCCGTCGTAACTGCCAGAGCAAGGACCAGAGCTTCTTGGGGTTTAGAGTTGAAGGGTCTAAAGTTTAGGGTTTAGGGTTTTATAAGGCTTGGGGCTTGGGGTTTGGGCCTTAGGGTTTTAGGGTTTAGGGCGGGTTTAGGATATAGAAGCAGGGACGAGAGGTGGTTTTTGGGCTTAGGGTTGTGGGTGTAGGGGTTTAGAAGGCTTCTGGGTTTGAGTTTACTTAAAGGATCATGGGACTTAGTAACTGGGGTTATACTTAAGGTAACTATGCGTATAACCCCAATTAAGGTACTTATAACCTTACTTACTAAGTCCCATGATCCTCCAAGTAGGGTTTAGGGCTCCAAGGCAGGGCGTACTTTGAGCATTTGGGCCTGCACTCCTCCACCGTCTTGGATACCAGTATGGATCCCGACGAAGCACTTCCAAAAAGATCTTCAAACCTGAATGCTACGGGTCCAAGGAATCCTTCTCTATGGTTTTTGGTACCTAAACAGCCCAACAAAAATTCTGTGATATTGAATTCTTGGACCCTTAAAATCCCAAGCTGCTGTTCCGCACAAGCCCCAATCCGCAAACGCTGTAAACCCACGTCACGAAAGACCAGACTTCATCTGCCGTGGCAGCGCCTCTGCCGCCACCCGCTGGAGCCCAAAAGCCGCGGCACATGGCCTGAAACGAACATCAGCGGTTTAGGGGAGTGCTGTTTATGGTTTGGGGTTTCAGTTTAGGGTTCAGGGTTGCGGTTCAGGAGTCTGGGTTCACGGTCTAGGCTTCAGGGTGGTCGCAGTTGAGAGTGTAGCTTCCAGGCTTAACGAAACAGTTAACATTTTGGTACCACCACGGGGGGGCTCTTATGTTGACGGTCACGGTCTCTGAATATTCCCGAAGGGTCCAGCTGCTCAACTAGCAATGTAGACCCCTGATTAACTGACCTGCTCTCTTAAGCATGGACACAACCGGCCGGGATACCGTGACCCCTTAAAACCTAAAGCCTAAAGCCTGTAACTTGAGGACCTAAGGGTTTGGGAGGCCATCGTGTTTTTTGTTTAGTGCTCAGGGTTGAAGGTTGGTTCAAACACCGATTGGGATAGCTTGTCCCAAGTGTCCATCTCTCAACGGATTTGGTCGCACAAGCCCACATGCTTCGATTTAGACACCTGGACCCTGCAGAGCACTTGGACCCTTAAGGTATTGGAGAAGTTAGGACATCGAACTGCCGATGTGAACCGAACCCTGAAACAAGTTAGCGGAGGGCACGCCCATCGGGTAGATGGTCTTGCAACCCATACCCCCCGCACACTTGTTAAGCCTATAATCCATAAGCCTAATCAAATACTAGGATACCCAGTAACCTAAGAATAAAAAGCCCTCTCTTTTTGGTATTGGGTAACTTTATAAGGAACCTAGGACTACAACAAGGGAATAAGGGTACTACTGGGCATCCTAGAATAGGATATTTCCAAAGACCATCAGCCCAATGGGCGTGCCCATGTTGATAGAAGTTATGGTATTTGGGGGTAGACAGGGCTTGGGGCAGTAGATGATGCAATATAGCTTTATTATAAGTTGTATCAGTTACTGAATAACATCACGGGTTGTAATGGCTGAAAATATTCTATGTGTTCAAGCGTTCGTGTTGATTTCCTGCGCTCTGAAGTCGTTTTTGGCTCTCTTAATGTTTTTTGTCTGGGAACACCTTATGATTTTTGCGTATATTTTGTGTTGTTGCTTCCTGTGTTCAGCATACATTTCTTCTCGTACCTCATGTGCAAGCGTTCCTTTCACTCTCAACTCTCGCAGTTCTGCATATAGTTCATCGTTTAAGTTGTATAGTTCAGAATTTGGATGCGTTCCGAAGTAAAAATGAACATCCCAGCTTTTGGGCTTTAGTCTTCGCCCACACTCTTCGCAAAACCTGCTCCATGTCTCGCTTTCTTGGCTTCTAGCTAGGTTATATTCTTCCCTACCTTTCCTCTTTGCCTCACGGCATCTGTTACAAGTTTTAAATCCACCAAACTCTCATAACTCTGTGGTGGCACGCCAAGACTTGCATTGGGAAGATGGTCTTTAGAAAGCCCTACTTGATTAGGCTTTTTGATTCTAGGTGTAAAAGTGTAGAGGTAGGGTACGAGTTGCAAGACCATCCAGCCGATCGGCATGCCCTCGGCTAAGGTTTAGGGTTTAGGGTTTAGGGTTTAGGGTAGGGGGAGCAGAGATTAAAAATCTGAGAATACCCTGCAAACCTTGACAAAATCCCACATAAAAGACACCATATAGGCAGCATGCCACGACAACAACACAACTAGAGCGAAAAGCACTTCCGCACTAAAAGGGTTTTGGAGTCTCCGAGCAACCGGTAACCCTAAATCCTGAAAAATAAACCTTAAACCCTAAACCCTCAACCTCAATTCTGCCCCCTAAACCCTTGACTGCTTGGAGGGGCAGGGGACTTACGGTTGATGATATAAATCCTGCATTACCCATAATAAGGAATATACCATAATTCCCATAGTTTAGGGTCCTTAAGGTGATGCAGGATTTATATCATCAACCGTAGTAAGTGGATTATAAGTAGAGATATAAGTACCCTAAATGGAGTTACCCCAATAATCACCCTACCTATAACCTACTTACAAAGTGCCCTGCCCCTCCAAGTAAACCCTTGACCCGAGGAATGCAGGGAGGCCCCACCATCTCGAACCCCGGGGCAGGGCCGTCGGGCGCCGGTGCCACCTTTGGATCGCACTTTCGTGCTCTTTAAGGGTTTAGGGTTTAGGGTTAAGGGTTTAGGGTTTAGCATGGTTTAGGGTTTAGGATGGTTTAGGGTTTAGGGCTAAGGGTTTAGGGTATAGAATGGTTTAGGGTTTAGGGTTAACGGTTTAGGATTTAGGATGGTTTAGGGTTTAAGGGTTTAGGGTATAGAATGGTTTAGGGCTAAGGGCCTGCAAGGTGTAGGGTTCAGGATGTTGTAGGGCTGAGGGTTTAGGCTCTGTAACGCTTTAGGTTTCAGGGTTTATAGGGTTTAGGGCTACGGGTTTAGGGTGAATGGGGGTAAGTAATTCTTTAAGGGTTTAAGGGTTTAGGGTTAAGGACAAAGGGTTCAGGGTTTGGGGTTCCAGTTTAGGGTCTATAGGATGGTTTCGGGTTGAGGCTACAGGGAGTTTAGCGCTGTGGTTGACGGGTTAGGAAGCTGAGAAACAGAAGTTTCGGGTTTAGCTTGGTTTCGGCTTGACGGTTTAGGACTACGAGTGGAGGGTTCAGGGTGTTTACTTAGAGGGTCATGGGACTTGGTAAGTAGGTTGTAAATAATTGGGGTTATAAGTCCCCTAACTGGGGATATCCTAATTATAACCTACTTATAAATAACCTTACTTGCTAAGTCCCATAAGCCTTCAAGTAGGGTAATCGGGATCGCAAACCCATACCATACCTGGGCCCTAGGAACCCTACCTTTCTACGGACTTGCTTCGGGATATCATGTTTTGAGGAAAAGATTGCTTTCTCACCCTAAGGCTCCATGTTCCCACATAGTATATACTTAGGCCTGAAAGTACCTATATGTAGGGACCCCTTTAAGGCCTAAGTACCTACTATGAAGGCACATGGAGCTTTTGGGTCAGGGTCCAGGTTTGCATGCTTGGACCCTCTAGGTTGTTTATTTAAGTTTCGGACTCCGGCTGCGAAGGTTGCCCCGAAATCTCATACCCTAAATCGTAAGCTAGGGTTGAGGGCTTAAGGTTTATACCCCTTACTAAACCCTAAACCCCAAACCCTAAACTGTGTAGGGTTAAGGGTTTAGGACCAAGCCCCACACCCTAAAACCTAAAAACCGAGCCCTAGCTCCCCTAGACGCTCTAGACCCTGCTGCTGTACCCGGCACCCCGTCGACACCCAGGCACAGCTGAAAACAATCTAACCTCAAACGCCCCAATCCCGAAATTGCGAACGGCCAGAATCAGCATAGAACCTTTGTATAGAAGTCCATCTGAAACGCAAGGACTCAGAAGCCAAGGAACAGAAGTAAGATTGCCCTTATTTCGCCACGCAGCCGGTGTTGGCTCCTGTGATTTGGCGCGAGCCAAGGTCTCGAGTGCCTGCCAATCAGTTCTATTGCTTGGCTGCAGGTAAACCCCAAACCCTCAGCCCCCTAAACCCTAAACCCTAAACCCTAAACCATAGGTCCTAAACCCTAAACCCTAAACCCTAAGTCCTAAACCCTAAACCCTAAGTCCTAAACCCTAAACCCTAAGTCCTAAACCCTACAACCGACGCCCCGCACTCTCGAACCTAAACCTCTAAACCGAAACCCTACAGCCCAAACCTTTAAGCCCCAACAACCCTAGGCCATATAAACCTCTAAACCTCAAACCCGGAGATGTTGTGCAGGTGCTGGCCCCGCAACTACAGAGCATAACCCTGAAGTTGATAGCTTATGGGGTCCACAGGATCGCATAGGGCCAGGAGGGCTTCTAGCATCGATGTACAAATAAGAGGCTGCTTGAAGACTCTGTCTTGCGGTCATACGTATGCGAGTAGCCCTGTAACCTCTGCAATGAATCCATAAAACTATGTTGTCAGCCCTACTTACTGAAGTCGTCCAGTTTGTTTGTGTGTATATATTTTATAAACTCCCTAGAAGCGAATTTGCTCATACATGCAGATACTAATGTTACGGGCTCCCTTTAAACAAGGGGAATGAACACCAAAGTATACACGATACATACTTCTACACAGCAGGTCGCTAAACCATGTAAGTCCAAGCGACTGTGACCGTTCAGATAACCTTACGATACCGCCCTCCGGGTTTGCAAGGGCTTGTGTCAGAGTTTGAATCGAGCTTATAGGTGCTTTGCTCCATAAGAGACAATGCTGACAGTTCTTGTCAATTCCGATTCAATTCTTGCGTTCATAGACAACCCCCTCATGTCAACATACTTCCAAGAAGCCCTACGCTCTTGGTTAACCTGCAGATGTGTGCCTTGCGCCGTGCTCGTCCGAGCATGAGCCGTGCGTGCTCTTCCTGCGGCGACGCGCTGTGCGAACTAAACCCCAAACTCGAAACCCCAAACCCTAAACCCTAAAACTCCTCAGATCCAGTGGATGAACTTCCTCCTGTTAGGCTGCACCTACTGGAGCCGCGCACACTGTGGGTGCACCCGCTTTTCGACCCTAAGGGTCCATGTACCCATATAGCATATACTTTGGGCCCAATGTACCTATATAGGGAGTACTTTAAGGCCAATGTATATACTATATGAGTACATGGACCCTTAGGAAATGGAAAAGCCGCATACGGTAAACGTCTCCAGTCCTTAGACTCTACCCCTACTTGGAGGGGCTTTATGGGGACTTAGTAAGGGTTCTTGAAGGGCTTCTTTAAAGGGATCTATAGGGTTCCTTAAAAGGCTCTATATCGGGTTTAGCGTTTAGGGTTTACTTGGAGGGGCAGGGGACTTAGTATATAAGTAAGTTATAAGTAGGGTTATAATTGGGGTAACTCCATCTAGGGTACTTATAACTCTACTTAAAACCTACTTACTAAGTCCCCTGCCCCCCCCCCCCCCTCCCAAGTACCTCTGGCCCCAAAACGCTACAAGCTCATACTTTGTGACCTTTCAATCATATAGAAGCCCCTTACAGGTGGGTAGTTCCCCTTCCATAGTACTCCCATAAGACCCCTTTACCTTATGGGAGTGGCATGGAAGGCTTATGGGAAACCACCCACCTTATAACTCCACAACTGTGAATGGCTTAGACCATATGGGAAACTCTGAGGCTCCAGAATATAGTACCATTATGGAATGAGGTCCCTAAGACCATCATAAGCATGGTCGATTTTGGGCCCTAATACCATAATGGTCAGCCTTATGACCACAGCTTGCTTCACCGTCACCAGATGGATTTTCCTGACCGTAAAATGGAAGCCCTAGACACCCGCGCACCCTGAAACCTTCCAAATCGGCAAGCTCTATGGACCCCTGAAGCTTAATCCTACCGTCGTCATCCTAAACACCAAAACCTGTGAACACTAGCCATATCCCGTAACATTTGATTTGTATGAACCCTAAACTAAACTCTGGAGTAAAAATCGGCAACCCGATAAAAGCCTGTACATTCCCTATACAAATCTTTACAACCTCCTACGCAGAGCCGATTGCAACCCCACAAATTGTAGGTTGCGGCACCATAATCAATAAATCCTACACCGTAAACCCTAGATCCATCCGCAGGTACAGCCCACTGCGTCTCCTGCAGCTTCATGCTCTCCGCGGCAATGTCTTTGCAAAGCCTGGGTGGGGCTGAACCCAAGCTTCTGCTGAATGCATAAAAAGGTACGCAGTTCCAGAACTACTCGGAATATCCACCCCCTAAACCTTAAATCCTAAACCCGATGATTACAAACCAAGACATCAGTACATACCAACTGAACAGAGCCCGTTTCGGGGTTGAACGATTAGCCAGGGTTTATTGTCTATAACTATCATCAGACCCTTTATGTATGTCGAGCTTATACATGCTTCAAAAGGATGAGAGCCAGAGTTCGTTTATGGGTTTCCGAGCGCAATTTTCCGGGTTTGGGGGCTTCGTTTATAGGGTCCTTCAGATCAGGGCACGGGGCCTTGGTGGCTTACGCTTAGGGGTTTAGGGGTTTTAGGTTTAGGGGTTACCTATAGTCTCCATTGTAGTTCCTTTTTGGGGTTACCTTTTGGGATCCTTAATATAAACTTGGTTAAACCCAAAAAAAGGAACTACAATGGAGACTATAGGTAGGGGGGCTCAAGAGGCTCGGATGGCCGGCTTAGGGGTTTGGAGCTTTCGGGTTTCGAGCTTTGGTGAGCGCTCAGCCATGTCGTACGGCTGAGAGGGTTTCCTTTAAAGGGATCTATAAGGGTACCTTTAAGGGGTTCCTTTAAGGGGTCTATAGGGGGTTTAGGGTTTAGGGATATAAATCCTGCATTACCCATTATAAGGAATACGCCATAGTTCCCATAGCTTAGTCCTTAGGGTCATGCAGGATTTTGTCCATCAACAGTATCATCCGTGCAAAGCCGAGTGAGTACAAGTATAGCACCCCTTGCAGAATTGATGTTTCGCCTTTAATTAGAACACTACCGATGACATGTAGCGGGGAGCAAAAAGCGCACCTGAACAAAAACAAGCCTTCCACCACCCGGTCGTCCTCGTTCTCTTCCAACACCTCTGCGGTGCTCTTGGCGTGGAGGTACGCGTGGTGTTTTGGCTGCCCCATAAGACTCCATGTGCTCATGTAGTAGGTACTTAGGCCTTAAAGGGGTCTATATACTTTAAGGCCTAGGTACCTACTATGTGGGTACATGGAGCCGTTGGGTCCAGCATCTGAAGCTTGCGCAGCTGTGTCGCTCAGACGAGATGGTAGGGCCCCCCAAAAGCACATAAGCAAAAATCAGGGTAGGGATATCCCATATAAACCCCCCCAAAAAGGAAGGCCAATAAGGTAGTGATATCCCCATAAAATGCTTATCAAGGATACCCAGTAACCTAAGAATAAAAAGGCCTCTCTCTTTGGTATTGGGTAACTTTATAAGGAACCTAGGACTACAAAAAGGGAATAAGGGTACTACTGGGCATCCTAGTTATGCTTATGTGCTTTTCGGGTCCCGAAGATGGGGGAGTCCAAGTCCAGTCGAAGTCGGCTCCATCGTCGACGGAGGTGCCCAGACCTTCCAAAATCCTTTAGGAATATACCTCGCCTAAGGGTTCCTTAAAGGGATCTATAAGGGCTCTATAAGGGAATTAAGGAATATACCTTAGATTATATTAGGGTCCCGAATGTGATTTAAGGTATATTCCGTAATTAAGGGATTTTGGAAGTTCTGGGTGCATGTCCATCGCGCTGGACTTCGTCCCAGTCGATCGACGTGCATTCAAGTCGCGGTCTCCCTACTTGGAGGTGCAGGGGACTTAGTAAGTATAGGCTATAAGCAGAGTTATAAGTACCCTAAATGGAGATACCCCAATGACATAACCTACTTACGAAGTCTACAGTACTTGTTGGTCCCTAAATCCTTAAACCCTAAGCTTAAACCCCCAACCCTAAACCTTAAAATACCTACCCCTAAACCCTGAACCCCATATATACCCTAAACCCTATCTAAACCCTAATTTTACCCTAAACCCTTATAGAACCCTTTAAAGGAACCCCTAAACCCTGAACCCCAGATCCCCAAGTGCCCCGAACCCCTGAACCCCCGAAAGGCGCCAAGGTGCCCATGGAGTTCCAGAGACCGCCTCTGCACGGCTTTCCGGTGCTTGCCCTAAGGCTCCTGGACCCTTGGAGTGAGGGCCCAAACCCCAGCCCCCAAAGCCGAAACCCTCTCCCCACAAGGCCCAAGACCCTGTTTGGAGCCTTAGGGTGAAGAACTGGTTTCATAAGGGCCTATAGCCCTAAGGGTCCATGTACCAAAATATTATACTCCTTGGGCCCAATGTACCATTATAGGGACTACATTAAGGCCAATGTATATATTATTTGGTTACATGGACCCTTAGCGTAGTTATAGGACTCGGAACCGAAACAGTATATACTTTGGCCTTAAAGTAGTCCCTCTATAAATACCTTGGGGCCAAAGTGTAAACTGCTTGGGTACATGGACCCTTCGGGATAAAGGCCTATAGGACCAGGAACCTCAAAGCGGGATTCTATGGGCTTACTTGGAGGGGCAAGGGACTTAGTAAGTAGGCTATAAGTAGAGTTATAAGTACCCTCAATGGAGTTACCCCAATTATGACCCTACATATAACCTACTTACTAAGTCCCCTGCCCCTCCAAGTAGGAACCCCATATCGGGATTCTATGGGCTTAGGTGCTGCAGTTGAAACCAAGGTTTCCTAAGGTTGTGTAGGATGCCCAGTAGCCTAGGAATAAAAAGGGCTCCCTTTCTGGTATTGGGTAACTGTATAAGGAACCTAAGACTACAAAAAGGGAATAAGGGTACTTCTGGGCATCCTAGTTCTTAAACGGGCTGATGTGGTTAATTATGAGGGTTTAGGAGGGTTCCTGGGCTCTGAAACGATTCCAAAGGAGTGGCATAAGGATTTGGAGGGTGGGTACAGGGTTTTGGGCTTTGGGGATGCTAAAGACTTCATGAAATCTGACAAGTTTTCCATGGTTTTGCGGGAGTTTGGTGTTCAGTGTTCTTGCCTCCAACTGCCCGACACCACATGCCCTGTAACCCACAAGCCGAATCACGTAAACCTTTTAGTCGAAGCCCTAAACCCTAAACCCTAAACCCCTAAACCCTAAACCCTAAACCCCGAACCCCTAAACCCTAAACCCTTTTAGTCGAAGCCCGAAATGCAAGATTCAGGGCCCCAGTCCCAAATGTCTCTAAACCGGGTTTAGGGTTTAGGGTTTTAGGGTTTAGGGTTTAGGGTTTAGGGTTTTAGGGTTTAGGGTTTAGGGTTTAGGGTTTAGGGTTTTAGGGTTTAGGGTTTAGGGTTTAGGTCTTTACAAACACAGACCATCACACACCCTTGTTGAACAAAACAGGTTTGGGGTTTTGGGTCTAAGCTGGGGTTTAATGTCAATGTGGGTTTAGTCAGGGTTTGGGGCTCGGGATTAAACAAGCGACAGCCACGTAATTGCAGCAAACACCCTAAAATCCGCGGGTAGCCCCCATAAACCCTTAGAGCCTTGAGGGAAACGCTTTAGGGAACTTGTGCAGGAAAAAACAAACGCCCCAGCCTTGCCAGAGAAACCCTACAAGAATAAACCCTGAAACCAAGCCACTCAACCCTGACCCCCGAACACTAAACTTTAGCCCTTAGCATAGTATGGCCTGGTGGGTAAAGCCGCAGAACTATGAATCCTTCAAGCCTCTGGGGTTATTGAGCCCTAGAGGCGTCCCTAAACGCTTCAGGCGTCCCTAAAGCATGACCCATAATAATGATTATACCATAATGCCCATATACTCCTGGAAATGGGTAATGCAAGATTCATATCATCAACCGTTAGTAGACCCTACTTGGAGGGGCAGGGGACTCAGTAAGTAAGGTTATAAGTAGGTTATAACTAGGATAAGCCCACTTAGCGGACTTATAACCCCAGTTATAACTTACTTACTAAGCCCCATGATCCTCTAAGTAGACTCTAAACCCTAAACCCCATAGATCCGTTGAAGGAACCCTATAGATCCCTTTAAGGAGCCCTTTAAAAGAGCCCTTACTAAGTCCCATGATCCTCTAAGTAAAGCAGTTCCGGCCTTGCCAGGGCATCTTTTTTTGCCCTCACTGCTTCAAGGGTCCGCCTGGAGAGGTCAGGGTTCAGGGTCTACATGAACCTACCAAAACCTAGGTCCCTATAAATTCCATAGAATAAGAACCTACAAAATTAAAAGGCAGGGTTTGGTAGGTGAAGGTAGAGTTTAGGTTTGGGGTTTAAGGCTTAGGGTTCAGAGTTTAGGCTTTAGTGGTCTAAGATTTAGGGTTTGGGGTTTTGGGTTTATAGGGTCTGAGGTTTAGGGTTTAAGGACGCTCCCACAAGGCTCTGGAACAAGGCTCAGAAGTCCATCTGTTTTTGCAGGGGGAATGGGTTTGAGTGGGGTTGATAATTCTTTCTGGCATCCTCTAATATAGCCTGGAATACCCACCATTGAGGATCATAACGGCTCCATCAAAGGGCCATTGGGGGGTGCTGGCTTGTGGCATTACTCCGGCCCCTATATCCTAGAAACTTCATATATAGTACCATTCTGGAATTAGGTCCCAAAAACCATAATGAGAATGGTCTTTTGGGGCCTGATTCCATAATGGCACTATACATGGAGCCTCTGGGTATTAACCACCCGGCCTAATGCTTGCGTCTTGCTGCTCCTCCAGGGTCTTCTCCCTCTCGAGCTGGGCCACCTCTTTTGTGCTCAGGCTTTTCAGAGTTTAAGGTTCCATGAGGGTGCTGTCAGGGGCTTAGAGTGAAGGGCTGTAGAGTTTAGGTTTAGGCTCACGTTCTTCAAATTTTAAGGGTGTCCTGAAGCCTGGTAGTATTTTCGTCCACTAAGGTACCCTTTTTAGGTACTTCGAGGGGGTAGTTTTGCAAATTAAGGTCCATTTGTAGGGGTAGCTTTGCAAATTAAAGCAATTACCGTTTTAGGTCCGAATAATACAGGGGACCCTAACAGGGGACCCTGATTTAGAGAGAACTACTCAAGGGTTCTCCTTTGCGGCTTCCGCCGAAGCCGCCAGAAGCGCTTCTTCGAGGCTTTTAGGGTTTAAAGAGGTTAACCCAGAGGGTCCATATATAGTACCATTATGGAAGGAGGCACCAAAAGACCATCCTTATCAGGGCTTCAGGTGCGAATTAAGTTACTTCCATAATGGTACTGTATCTGGAGCCTCGAGGTCCCTAAACCCTAAACCCTAAACCCAAAAACCCTAAACCCTAAACCCTAAACCCTAAACCCAAAAACCCTAAACCCTAAACCCTAAACCCAAAAACCCTAAACCCTAAACCCTAAACCCTAATAAGGCTTCTTTCTGCACGCCTACACCTCGAAATCCGAGGCTCTCGGGGGCTGATGCTTCAAACAGGGGTTTAGGGTTTAGGGGTTTAGGGTTTAGGGTTTAGGGTTTAGGGTTCAGGTGAGGGTTCTTTACCTTGCCTTCGGTTAGTAGGGAATGGAGGAATGGGATACAATTATAACTATTATTACTACCATTCTTCCATTCCCTACTAACCAAAGGCAAGTTACTTGCCATTGGGATGGTCGGCGGTCAAAGATTACAGGGTCCCTTTTATGGTTCTGCAAGTTCTTGTCGGGGTTTGTTTGACACTTATATGGCTTTACAACAGTCTCAAGAGGTAAACCATTGGGGCTCGTATCGGTTCTTATGAGATGTGTCTAGGCTTGTGTAAGAGTTCTGCGAAGCTTCTACGAAGGTGGTATTGAACCTATATGGTTTCAAAGGTTGGGGATAATAGGCCGTTGCTGCAAGAGTTCCTTTGAGTATTCCGAGAGGCTCCACATATACTACCAATATGGAATTAGGTCCCTAAAACCATAATAAGATCAGGCTCTTGGAACCTAACGGTTGTATATATGGAATCTCTAGGTTCTATACTACAAGGATACAACGGGGGCTTGGGAAATGGGGCTGAGGGCTCGTGAGTTGCGGATTTGGGGTTTAGGGTTCCTTTAAGGTTTTAGGGTCTAGGGCTTTAAGTCATTTTCTACATAACAACTGGGTTCTCGTTTAGTATCCTAGTTGCAGAATGGTTACTCTAACCGAAAGAGGAGCTGCACTGAAGACGAGAGGTATGTCTTTTGCGGACGGTACATCATAAAGCCTCAACCCGAAACCCAACATGAACCTGTAATGCTCACCACTAAGGTTTAAGTTCTGGGTTGAAGCTTCAAAAGCCTTTATGCCCTCCCCCCAAAACAAGTCATTGTAAGCCACCAAACCCCTACACCACCCAAACCTCAAAACCCCTAAACAGACCTAACACACAAAACAAAGGAACATACTACAATTCACGGAACCGCAATTATCACTAATATTCAGAACAACAGAAACTGCCATAGCTATAAAAACAACAACATAATAAAACATGATATGGTAACAATCCCCTAACCCCACACCCTCAACCCCTAACCCCTAAACCATCAACCCAATGGTAACGATCCCCAAGTACGCCTTAAAGGGACTAACAAGAACCCTAAACTCCTAAAAGGAACCTTGAACCCTAAAACCCTAAACCCCAAACCCCAACTCACCTAATTAAACCCTAAACCCCTAAACCCTAAACCCCTAACACCTAAACCCTAAAGCCCTAAACCCCAACACAGCCAAGGGAGCCTCCTCCTCCAATCGCTGGGCCTCCGCGGCGCCCGAGGCGACCAGTTCCAAGAGCTCGGCGCAGCTTGCCTCGGGTTCAGGTTTGGGGTCCCTGTTAGAGCTCATTAGGGCTTAGGGTTCCTTAAAGGATTTAGTGTTTAGGGTTTCCATTTAGGGTGTAGGGCTACTTTTGAATAAGGGTGCTATAAGGGCTTAGAGTGTAGGGTCCCTTTTAGAGCTTATTAGGGCTCAGGGTTCCTTTCAGGTTTTAAGGTTTAAGGGTCTTTTAAGGTCTTAGGGTCTAGCTGGCCTCGGGTTCAGGGTTTAGGGCTCCTTCTCGGGTTTAGGCGTTCAGGGTCCCTCTACGGTTTTAGGGTCAGTCTAGGGTTTAGGGTTCCTTTAACATGTTAGGGTCTAGGTTTGGGGTTCCTTTTGGGGTCTAGGGTCTCGGGTTTAGGGTTTCCTTTAGGGTTCCTTTAAGCCTTTAGGTTAGGTTTAGGATTTAACGTTCCTTTTAGGGTTTACGGTTTAGGGTATTACGGTCTTAGGGTCTAGGGTTTAGGATTCCTTTACGGTTTTAGGGTCTAGGGTATAGGATTCCTTTTAGTGTTTATAGGGTCTGGGGTTAAGGGTTTCTTTAAGGGTTCGATCGAGGGTTATAAAAAAGGGTCGCCCTTAAAGGGTTTGTGATTGCATCGTAAGGTCTCCTTGAAGGGCTCTTATAAGGGTTCCGTTGAGGGCTTGTAGGTCTTGGGCTTTAGGGTTGTGAGGTTTCGAGCTTCAACTTATGGTTCAAGGAGTTTGGGCTTTATAGTTTTGGGGTTGGGCCTAGGTTCCCTTTCAAATATTCCCTGTAAGCGGGCCTTTAAGGGTGGTAGTGTGCTGATCGTAGCCTTGCGGGATCCCTGAACACCTCACCCCCCCCGCAAGGGACGCTTAAACGGAACCCTTCGAGAAACGCTTCAAGGGACCATTGAACCCTATGCCACTCCAAACCAGCCTTTTGCAAGAGTTTCAACAGGTCCATTGCCCTCTAGGAGAACAGCTGCATTTATATTTCGATATACCTGAATATATCTACAGAATCTGTCTGTATATATATATATATACACACACACTACAGACTGCATAAACAAAATGTGACATGAACGAAATCATAGACCAACAATGCAAACCACAAAGAACGCACTCAAGAGCAGGATAGCATGGGGTGCCTTAGAAATTAGAAAGGGTTGTGGGGCCATTGCACTATAACTATAATAAGGAACCCCCAAAATAGTATAGGCAATCATTACCCTAAGGCTCCATGTACCCATATAATTCCCTCAGGGTCCATGTACCCAACTAGTATATACATTGGCCTTAAAGTACTCCCTATATAGGTACATTGGAACCAAGTATATGCTATATGGGTACATGGACCCTTAGGGATTAGTATATACTGATAGCATGGGGTGCCTCGGCCTCGCCCGCTGCGTCTTCCAGACGTAGGACCTCATGGCATAGGGCTCCTTATAGGGTTCCTTTTTAAGGTTCCTGAGGGTTCCTTAGGGCACCTTAGGCTTCCTTAGGGTTCCTTAGGGTTCCTTAGAATTTGTTAGGGTTCCGGGTTCTGTTTACAAGCCCTAAGTCTCCAAGTCGTCCTCTTTTATGGCTTTTGGTACCTATGAAGGCCTTAAAGTCCTATAATAGGAGTACTTGGACCCTTTCGGAAGGGTTTCATAGCTATTCTTGCTAAAGGAATTTACTATGGGGGTTGATACGGGGCTTGTAGGGCTTGGCTTTGCGGTTTCTTTTAAGGCTCTATAAGAGGCTTAGGGTTTAGAGGCCTTAACATTTGTGGCTTATGGTTTAGGTTTTACTTTAGGGTGTTTGGACCCGTAAACCTCCAGTAGTGCAAAAACATAAAGCAAAGCAAGGCAACAACAAGGTCAAATGACAGAAGCCAACATGCATCGATTGCAATAGTCGCTGTTGTCCCTGTATGATTCTCTCCATACCACCCCTAGGACCAACCCGCTCAACTTTGCATCCTAGACCACTACCACTCTCAAAAGCAGCAACTCTAAACCCTACATACCTGATACCCTAACCCCCCGCACCCTAAACCCTAATCGACCTATACGGTAATCCTTACAGTCTATAGTACCGTTATGGCACCCTTTCATGATACAATAGGGATGGGAACCCGAAGAGGACCCCAACCCCAACCCTTAAAGCAACCCTAATTCAAGGAACCTTAAGGAAATGCCGGCGGGAACGTTTAGATCGTTAGAGGAACACCTGAAAAACCGCATGAAAATAATCCTAAGTTAACTAAAGAGCACCACAATGCCTTCTAACAGAAATAAACTTCCAAGCGCCTTCATAAACTCCAAACTCTGACAAATTATTGACTTGCATAGGACCCTAATCGAAACTCGTAGAGAACCCACAGCTCTGAAACTTTAACCCTGGAACCCTAAAACCAACCCTAAACCCTCTAAGCCTAAACCCTAAGCCCTAAACCCCTAAGACCTAAACCCTTAAACCAAAAAATCTCAACCGTATGAGACTGAAGCCTCGGATCGATGACCTTCTGCAAGCTCCCGATGGGCCACGCAGTGCTCCTTGGTTAATGTAGGGGTTTCTTGCGTTCTTAGCGAACCATAAGGTCGAAATGAGCCCCAAAAGGACTTGAGGTCAAATACCGTGGTAGGGAAGTATATTGGGTATAAGGGCCCTACTTTTGAGGGTCATTTGGTACCGATATGAGTGGCTTCTCGGGGGCTTGATGAATGAGTAGGGTTCCCGTAGAGGGGTTCAGGGTTTGTAGGGTTTACCTCAAGGCTCCTGGACCCTTGTAGTGAGATGCCGGACCCTAGTCCCCAAAGCCGAAATGACCCCTCTCAGGAGCCTTAGGGTAGTCGTCAAACCCCTAAAACCTAAATATACCCTAAACCCTATATAAACCCTAATTAAACCTTAAACCCGTATAGACCCCTTTAATAAAGCAACCCTTAACCCTGAGCTTTGAGGGTAGATTTAACTGCGGATTTTTGACGATGGGGAATCTTCGGGAGCAATGATGGTACATGTTTGGGAGTTTCCGAGGATCGGGGACCCTAACATACGGTTGATGACATAAATCCTGCATTACCCATCATAAGGAATATGTGGGAATTGTGGCATATTCCTTATTATGGGTCATGCAGGATTTAAATCATCAACCGTAGTACCTGAAATAGTAGGATCCTTATTATAAGGACCCCCACAATAAGGTACCCCTAATTCTCGGAAACGTACTCAGTCGGAGTGGGGCGGACGTCGGGCCGGTGGTTTTTTGAAGGTTGTTTTGGGTTTGGCGTGTGTGGTTTCGGGTTCGGTCGGGGGGTACTGGGGTTTGGACAAGTCCTCCTCCAAGATAGCCTAGGATGCCCAGTAGAGGAGATGCACCCTTAAAAAGGGGCTTAAGGTTCAGATACCATAAGGGTTAGGGGATTAGGGTTTAGGGTTGAGAGTTTAGGGCTTATGAACCCTCTCAAGGTTGTCTAGGATGCCCAGTAGCCTAGGAATAAAAAGGGCTCCCTTGTTGGTATTGGGTAACTCTATAAGGAACCTAGCACTACAAACATGGAATAAGTATTACTGGGCATCTTAGTCAGTAGTGTGTCTAGTAAATCTCCAACCTGGCCCTACCCATAGGCTCGATAGTAGTTCCTTTTGGGGAATACCGTCGGAATGCCTTATATATGGGCTTCTAGAATTCTACATTGACAGCCCAGAAAGGAACTACTATGGAGCCTCTAGGCATCCCTTAAACCACTACTCCAATCACCCGTACAAGACCCATTTTCAATCCTGGCGAACCCTGGGCAACGTCCTGGACAACTGCCACTCCCCAAGGCTCCATGTACCTTTATAGTAGCTACTTAGGCCTTAAAGGGGTCCCCCTATATAGGGACTTTCAAGCCTAAGTATATACTATATGGGTACATGGAGCCTCAGGGACTGAATCCGAAAGTCTCTACATACAAAATACATAGGCACACATGGAGCCTTAAGGTTAGGCCCCCATGTCTATGTGAGCATGTGACGGTGTAGGAACCGGGAGCCCCCAAGTAACAAAACCGAGTCTTCGATGAACCTTAAGGACCACATGAACCCTAAAAGAGCTTAAGGCTTATATACCGTATAGGGGTTCATAGCATAAGGGTTTAAAAAGCCTCTGCTTTTCAGGATCATTTGGTCCTGAAGTAGTCCTTAAGGTACTGTATTGCATCCAAAAAGCGCCAAACAGCTATGAAAGACTGTGGATTGAACCGATTGAACCCACCCCTATAGGCATCCTTCTAGTAACCCTACAGCAGAAAACTACGCCTTAAACCTTCAATCCTACACACTAAACCCTCAATCCTACACCCTAAACCCCAAACCCCTAAACCCTAACCCCTCAGCTCTACACATAAAACCCTCAATCTTACACCCCAAACCTAAACCCCTAAACCCTAAACCCTAAGTCCCTGAGCACTCCACCCGAAAAAAAAGGCTCAGTACGGCGCGTTAGCGGCGTTCCCGTGGAGCTCTCGAAGCGCTCGCTCCTGGGGCAACAGAAAGAATCTTCGGGGTCCAAGGGGTCTAGGGGTTTAGGGTTTAAGGGTGTAAGACCCTAAACCCTAAACCCTAAACCCTAAACCCTAAACCCCTAAACCCTAAACCCTAAACCCCTAAACCCTAAACCCCAAAACCCTAAACCCTAAACCCTAAGATTTATGTTTGTAAAATGAAGGGCTGACTATCGTCTTCGGGGCCTGAAGCCCTACGGTTGATGATCTAAAGCCTGCATTACCCATAATAAGGAGGACACCATAATTCCCATAGTTTAGGGTCCTTCATGTAATGCAGGATTTTTCATCAACCGAAGTACCCAAATAGTAGGGTTTTAGGCACCAAAACCCATTCAGAGTACGGTTTTTAGGGGCCTCAAACCCTGCTACTTGGGTACTTGGGATAGGTGTCTCCCACTCCCAGAGGTTCCATATGTTCTATTATGGAATTATAGGGACCTAAAATCACAATAAGGATAATCTGTTGGGGCCGTGGCCTAATTCCAGAATTGGTGGTACATATATATATATATATATATGTATGTATGTATGGAGCCTCTAGGATTGTTCCGAAGCATTAAGCTGCAGAATGGAAAGAAATGGAACTGGAACTGCAAAGCAGCAACGTAAATGCCAAATGCATTCTCAGGCAGAACCTCAGAGACCAAATGACCCTTAAACGAAGGGGCCTTACACGCTGATACTGTGACTCCCTAATACTCCCTATATGGTGTATGAACCTTCTAAACCCTGTTAGGCTCAAATTAAACCCTAAACCTTAAGACCCTTACGCCTTGCACCCCAAAAGGGAACCTGACGTCCCAAGGGTGCCTTAAAACCCTTACACCCCAAAAGGGAACCTGAGGTCCCAGGGGTTCGTGGTGGATGGGAGTGCTTGGGTTTGAAGAAGAGCGCTCCGGGGAGCGAGCATCTCATCACCGGGTCCCTGTAAGGGTTCCCTTAACTTTAAGGGCTCCCTTGAAGGGTTCCTTTTAATTAAACTTCCCTTTAAAGACCTGAAAGGTTCCCTTTAAGGGCTCCTTTAAGCGATCTTTAGTAGCCATTCAGGGCTCAGGGATTGGGGGTTTCTGGTCTAGGGTTCAGGCTCTTCTAAGGCTCTCTAGGATTCTGTTGGAAGTTCCCTTTAAGGGCTCATGTCCTTTTAAATGCATTGCGAAGGGTCCTATAACTGGTTTGGAGTTTAGGGTTTTGGGTTTGGGGGTAAAGATTGCATTCACGGGAGTTTGCGGGTTACTGTAGGGGCTCTGTAAGTTTAGGGCTCGAGGTCTAGCAGGTGGAGACTGGGCGAGGAGTAGACCGCAGACTAATCAACTAAATTTGACGAACCCTAAAACTCTAAGCACTCATATATTAAGGCTTCTGGGCCCACAGACCACACTATATAACGCTTGTGGGCAACTTGGAGCTTCAGCGTAAATCTAGCAACCCCGCGCCCAGGGCGAGGAACAACAGAAGAGTTTTCCAAGTACACCGAGGGTGCTCCTGGCACCTACTTGAAGGATCATGGGACTTAGTAACTAGGGTTCCTTAAAGGGCTCTTTTAAAGGGATCTATAGGGTTCCTTAAAGGGATCTATGGGGTTTAGAGTATCGCACCAGGGTCCTTCACAAGGACCGACATTCGAACGGGGAAACGTGGGATTGAAAATGTCTAATCCAATCCGCACTAGCCAAACCTTGTGCTGCGTGGCGACCTGACTCGAGCCGTATCTCCAGGGTTGCCTGGCGTACAAGCAACCCGACAATACCCAAAGGCTCCATGTACCCTTATAGTAGATACTTAAGCCCCAAAGTAGTCCCTATATAGGTCCTTTAAGGCCTAAGTATCTCTTACTATAAGGGTACATGGAGCCTTAGGGATAGTGACGGGTGACGCAGCTGTTAAAGCCCAAACTCGTGACACAGGAAAGGCTCCTTGCTGAGAACATCTCCGTCGGGCGAGAGGTGCCTTGCATTTTTCCGCGTATGACACAAGAGCATTGCCTCCTCAATCCAAGTAGCGCACATCTTTCTTGTAGGCTCCACTCCTCCCCCACATGTCGGGTTATAAATACGTTATAACTATACTTATAATTGCTTATAACCCCAATTAGGGTACTTATAATCTTACTTACCAAAGTCCCTTGATCCTCCAGGTAGGCGCAGCTTATAAACTCCAGACTCCAAACTGACTCTACAAACTACCCTACCCTAAGGGTCCAAGTGCCCAAATAGGAGGGTTTCAAGGTCCAAAAACCCTTCGGAGTATGGATTTTGGGACCTAAAACCCTACTATTTGGGTACTTGGACCCTCTGGGCTAAGGCTCCTATTAGAGGGGTCACGCGCTTTCTGGGGGAAGATTCGGGAGTTGGGGTCTAAGGTTTGGGATCTCACTGCGAGGGCCCAAGAGGCTTCGGGTAAGCCCTGAACCCTATAATCCCTAAACCCCTTCGCCCTAAACCCCAAACCCCTTAGCCCTAAATATCTAATCCCTAGAGCCTTGGGAACCCTAATCCCTGAACCCCTTCGCCCTAAACCCTAAACCCCTTAGCCCTAAACCCCTTAGCCTTAAATATCTAACCTCTAGAAATTGGCCCTAAAATACCTGCTCAACCTGAGCCCCGAGCATATTCAACCAAACGATCCGGTTAAGGGTTTCGGGTTGAGGGTTTATAGGGTTTAGGGTTCAGGTTTAAGGTACCTAAAACCCTACTGGCCCAGGGTCAAGGTGTAGGGATTACGCATACGATGCTAATCACAACGAAGTTTCAATTTTCATTCCATAGTAACTTCGAGAGTTCCAAAACACCGAAACAGAACCCTAAACCCTCTAAACTGAAACCCTACACGCTACTCTGACACGGCTCAATAACAGCAAAGACAGGAGCAGGCCTTCGCCGTGCCGTTCTGCAGCGTGCTGATGGAGTTCTTCAGCGCAGTCCTTAGGTTTTCAGGTTTCGGAAGGTTGTCGGGGTTTTCGGGTTTAGAAGGGTAGGGTTGTAGAGTTTGAAGTCTTACGGTTTACGGTTCCAGGGTTTGGGGCTTCGGCTTTAAGGTATAATTAGAGTTCACCTCGAACCCATAAACCCTTTCTTTGAAGGGCTACCTATCGTGACTTCTTTATATCAAGGTGAAACGAAAAGCTGATTGACAGCTGCCTGACGCAGAGCTGTCAAAACTACGACCCTCCACCGTGGACAGGCCCTAAACCCTGAACCCCGAAACCCTAAACCCCTAAACCCTAAACCCCTAAACCCTAAACCCTAACCCCTAAACCCTAACCCCTAAACCCCTAAACCCCTAAACCCCTAAACCCCTAACCCCTAAACCCCTAAACCCTAAAAATCCCGAAGCCCAAACCATCCTACAGGGTCCCCGGGAAGTCGAAAGCACTCTGCCTCCACCTGTCAGCACGCAGCCCCGCAGGCACGGCAGGTAGGGTTTAGGGTTTAGGGTTTAGGGTTTCAGGTCTAGGGTTTAGGGTTTAGGGCCGGGGTTACTTAAAGGCTCATGGGACTTAGCAACTAAGGTTACAAGCTACAAGTAAGGTTATAGTTCAAACAAGCCTACTTAGGGCACTTCGTACCCTACAATTCTACTTACTAAGTCTATTGAGCCCTTCATCAATAGGGTCTAGGGCAGGACATGGCATTTACGCATTCTGCAGGCTCTCTACGCCCGCTCAAACCGCATGGCCAAAGTCGCTGCGCCGGCTAGGTCTTTCGCGAATTAGGTGAGGGGTGTTTCCGCAGTGTTCAGTCGCATTGTTGCATACACTCCTCCGCATTGTACCCTAAGTACCTTCCAATCCCCCTGGGCATCTCCATGATTGTGTTTTCGCCATCGTCGGGTGGGGAGTTTGCACCGTCTCCGTGAGTCTGCAAAGTCCTGGGCAAGCCAGCCGCAAGCCACATACTTTGGTGCCGCACCTCCAGGAAGGCTAGACTGTGTGGAGCGGCTTATGGTCCCGGGATTAAGTCCAGCGCTTCTCCCCTGACCTGGGCGTATCTAGAGTCTCAGCATGTGGAGTATCAAGCATCGAACATCACCTGCGCGGGACTCGCACCGACCATGGAGAGCTTGTCCAAATACTGAAGGCCAGCATAACCACGTGCAACCGAGACGCTGGAGATGTACTTGACGCTTTGAGTGTTCCTGGCACGTGCTTCCTCAATCTCTCTCTCGTTGACCACCTCTCTCTCTCTCTCTGTATATCTCTCCTTCCCTCTCTGTCTCTCTCTCATGTCTTCTCTCTCTTTGTCCCTCCTGTACACACTTTCATGTACATGCAGGCACTAGCATCGGTAGTCACATGAACGTGTGCCTCGTGAGTTGGATTGAATAGAGAAAAGAGACCAACCCGTCCTAAATCCTAAAACCCGAGCCTTACACCCTGCTTCTGAAACCGGAAACCCTGAACCCCAGACTATGTAGTAGTAGCAGTGTCCACGGTGTAGGGCTGTATAGCCGACTTATCATCGGCGCTCCGTTGCACTTCTCTGAACACCCACGGTAACGCAGACGACACCCTCTGGTACATGGCGCAGAGATGTGGCAGCAGATGTTGCTTCTCAAACCCTAAGCAACTCCTTCAACAAACTCTGAACAGACCTGAGCAAAGACATAGGGAAGTCAACAAGCAAGCCTTCTCTAATTACCAAACGGCTTAGAATGTACAAATAGTACCTACTTCAGAGTCTTACATCTGTTAAGAATACCCACATTGGGATTTTTGGGGTCCCAGCGTTAAGTTGTTGAATTGTTTTGCCATTTGGGGGCTGCGGGAACTGGGTGCTTCACTGTTCGCAGGAGGCAAAAGCACCCTAAAGTTACCATACCAATAAGCTCCACATATACTAAATCTTTGGAAGTAGGCCCCTACATCGGGAGGACAAGAGTTTGGACCTACTGGACCTTTCTGGTCTTAAGGCATTTTGCAGAGTAGTGGAGTACTGAAGCCATAGCCACCAGAGCGACCAGGCAAAGAGTCGGAAGAAACTGTGCAAAGTAGTTCGATCCTTTGCCGGGTGTGGAGGTTTTAGAAGCAAGCATATAGATCAAGTGCATCTTGTCCTCCGTGTTGCGGCCGAATGCAACCATGGAAAGCCAGGAGAACATCGTCATCTTTGATGTCCAGCCCTTGCCAATGCCCGTAATGGGCACATCGTCCCCGTGCATCCTTATCGGGATGCAATTTCCTTGAGAAGTTGGGTCTGCCACGAATGGGTGGTCATGGTACTGTGGATTTGCCTTTCGCCGCTTCCCAGAATCGTTCAAGCTCCTCCTCGCTGTTCAGCAGGTTCTGTTCAAAGGCACCGGGATACTCACGATACACGACTGCAAAAACCTGGTGTGGCAGCAGGAAGTCATGCTGCTGGTCCATCAAAGGAGCTTTGAATGGTATGGCAGCAGTTAAGGCTGCGACTTACGTGGCCTGGCCAGCGGAGAATTTTACACCCCGTTTTAAACGTATGTTACTTTAATGTTCCGGAGGAGTACCCGGCTGGCTCTCTTTGCAAGGATTCTATGGGGGAAGGGCGGCCTATGTTCAACGAAACCAGGAATAGGTCAAACTTTCGTCCTACCGCAGTTTAACCACAATCAGGATGGTCTTTTGTGGACCTACTTCTTACTTCCACAATAAGCCGGGGAAATACATACTACTAGAATATACAAACACAAAAAGTTTAAAGGTTGGGTATTGGAGAACTAAGAATTCAACACTGTTAAAACATATGGAGCCTCTGGGTAAGCACCCCGGTCAGTACCAACTGTACTTGTATTGCCAACCTTATGCATACCTCGTCTTCTGAGGGCCCTGAAACACTAAACCTACCTGCAAAAACCCTGAAAAACCCTAAAAGGCTACTGTGGAGGGCCGACCTGGCGAAGCCAGAATTGCTTGTGTTTTGCGGTCCTTAAAATGGGGTCGCCCGACAGCCTCATAACTGTGCAGCTTTGAGATCGTACAAAGACAGGGAAATTGTTGCAGAGGTGACTCTGCATTTCTGAACAGAGCAGATCAAGCCATGCAGAGTTATGGTATCGAGAAGGTCGGCCGGAACAGATCATACAAGAGCGGCGGAATTTTCTGGAAGGTATCTCCACCAGATCTGAACAGGACTTCTTGAGCTGTGCAGAGTTATGGTATCGAGAGGTGTGGCTGACTGTTCGGAATTTGTGCACGGTGCTTAACTCCAAAACCCCCTCATGCACGACATGGGCTCACCTGGCTCTCGCCAGATTTTTTTTGCTCTTTTAGCAGAGACCCATTTGCAAATGTCTTGCCTCTGCCTTGCATTTGCTGCCAGACCGGTTGTTGCGTTCCCTCAAAAAGAACAGTTCGAACTAGCAGAGACCCATTTGCAATTTCTTGCCTCTGCCTTGCATTTGCTGCCAGACCGGTTGTTGCGTTCCCTCAAAAAGAACAGTTCGAACTTCACTTTTCGCTGTCGGAGGTTGCACCTCTACTTCAATTTCCCTTTTTGCTCTTTGAGTCAGTTCCATCGTGTAATCGGAGTCTTTTATTGCTTCATGGTTGCGTGTCTCTTTGCGCAGGAGGTGCATTCGGCTGTCACAAACCACAGGCGTTGCTCAGCAATTCCGCACCCCGCGCAACACAGACCCGTCTCCTCCCCCGCACACAGGCCCGTGGTGGTTTCTGAATTTCTGGAAACATGTGGACGAGCAGGACGCTGTTTGTGTCAACTGGCATTTGATTTTTGGTGTTTTTCAGTCTGCTTCAAACTGTTAGAAGTGCTGCTTGAGTCAGATTACTGACCACACTCATTTTGTCTCGTTTCCTTTCGTATGCTGTCAGCTCAAGAAAAAAATCGAGTGCTGCACACTCTTTTTTTTTGGTAGCAGACTTCTGAGAGCTGTCAAGCGCCGCAGCTCACCCGTACAAGGTTGGAGTTGAAGGTTCTCCCAGAAGGTACCTGTGCCGAGAAAGACATGGACTTTGACTTGTTTAGACCAGATCCTGCTTGTCCTATCAGTCCGCCTGCAGCTCAAAGGTGGAAGTGTTCTTGCTGCTGTGTCTGGAACGCCTGTTCGGCCACCAGTGCCGCCGACGTCCACTTTGGGTGCGGACCAACTGCAGCACACGCGGCTCCAAATGTGGGGTCGAACAATCCAAGCAATTTTGGCTTCGCTTGAGTGGCCCCCCTCTGTTCTCTCATGTTTATCACTTCCACCGGCAAGCTGTCTGTTGGAAATTCTTGTTCTTGGAGAATGATTTTTCCACACTGGATGCCTGCCTGTGGGCGGGTCGCCTTGATGTAGCAGTTTGGAACGTACGGGCTTGGGTTTGGGCCCCAGAATAGGAATTCGTGACCCCAAAATAGGGGCCGCCAAGCGGCCCCGATTTTGGGGTCCTCTAGTTGCCAGTCAAAATATGTTAAAGGAGGTTGGCTGCATTTCGCGGCTCCTTTTCTGGGGCCGCGAGACGGCCCCAGTTTTGGGGTCGCAAGTTTGATTCCTGCACCCACAGCGGCTGAATCTCGTCAGCTGCGCATGTCATTGATTGTATTGACTTTGGGGAGCGTCTGGTGGAGGACCGTTTGGAAGGTCGGAACTTGTCCAAAGCAGCTTTGTGCTCGCCCTTAAAAGTGCTGCAGCCAGCGGAATGCAACTGTGGAGGGCCGACCTGGCGAAGCCAGAATTGCTTGTGTTTTGCGGGCCTTAAAATGGGGTCGCCCGACAGCCCCGTAACTGTGCAGCTTTGAGATCGTACAAAGACAGGGAATTTTCCAGAGGTGACTCTGCATCTCTGAACAGAGCAGATCAAGCTATGCCATGCAGAGTTATGGTATCGAGAAGGTCGGCCGGAACAGATCATACAAGAGCGGCGGAATTTTCTGGAAGGTATCTCCACCAGATCTGAACAGGACTTCTTGAGCTGTGCAGAGTTATGGTATCGAGAGGTGTGGCTGACGGTTCGGAATTTGTGCACGGTGCTTAACTCCAAAACCCCCTCATGCACGACATGGGCTCACCTGGCTCTCGCCAGATTTTTTTTGCTCTTTTAGCAGAGACCCATTTGCAAATTTCTTGCCTCTGCCTTGCATTTGCTGCCAGACCGGTTGTTGCGTTCCCTCAAAAAGAACAGTTCGAACTAGCAGAGACCCATTTGCAATTTCTTGCCTCTGCCTTGCATTTGCTGCCAGACCGGTTGTTGCGTTCCCTCAAAAAGAACAGTTCGAACTGCACTTTTCGCTGTCGGAGGTTGCACCTCTACTTCAATTTCCCTTTTTGCTCTTTGAGTCAATTCCATCGTGTAATCGGAGTCTTTTATTGCTTCATGGTTGCGTGTCTCTTTGCGCAGGAGGTGCATTCGGCTGTCACAAACCACAGGCGTTGCTCAGCAATTCCGCACCCCGCGCAACACAGACCCGTCTCCTCCCCCGCACACAGGCCCGTGGTGGTTTCTGAATTTCTGGAAACATGTGGACGAGCAGGACGCTGTTTGTGTCAACTGGCATTTGATTTTTGGTGTTTTTCAGTCTGCTTCAAACTGTTAGAAGTGCTGCTTGAGTCAGATTACTGACCACACTCATTTTGTCTCGTTTCCTTTCGTATGCTGTCAGCTCAAGAAAAAAATCGAGTGCTGCACACTCTTTTTTTTTGGTAGCAGACTTCTGAGAGCTGTCAAGCGCCGCAGCTCACCCGTACAAGGTTGGAGTTGAATGTTCTCCCAGAAGGTACCTGTGCCGAGAAAGACATGGACTTTGACTTGTTTAGACCAGATCCTGCTTGTCCTATGAGTCCGCCTGCAGCTCAAAGGTGGAAGTGTTCTTGCTGCTGTGTCTGGAACGCCTGTTCGGCCACCAGTGCCGCCGACGTCCACTTTGGGTGCGGACCAACTGCAGCACACGCGGCTCCAAATGTGGGGTCGAACAATCCAAGCAATTTTGGCTTCGCTTGAGTGGCCCCCCTCTGTTCTCTCATGTTTATCACTTCCACCGGCAAGCTGTCTGTTGGAAATTCTTGTTCTTGGAGAATGATTTTTCCACACTGGATGCCTGCCTGTGGGCGGGTCGCCTTGATGTAGCAGTTTGGAACGTACGGGCTTGGGTTTGGGCCCCAGAATAGGAATTCGTGACCCCAAAATAGGGGCCGCCAAGCGGCCCCGATTTTGGGGTCCTCTAGTTGCC